AATATATTGCGATTTTTGCTGTGAAGATCTCGTTTTCTCAAAGGTATGTTTTGATAACCTTTTTGTTTAGTAATTTAATAAAAGAAGTTTTGAATAATTTTGTATATATATCGCATTTTACTTATGTTAAATTCCCATTGTATTTATGTATGTTTTGGGTGTTGAAAAAGTAGACTTGAAATATTCTGGAGTAAATTGTACTTTTTTACAAGGAAACTAAAATAAAATTACATTAGTGAATTCAGGAATGTTTACTCTTTATATTGATACGTTAAAACATAAATTTACTCCATAAAACCGAAGAGTTATCGCGGTTTGAAAATGAGCTATTTTTGCTAATTACGAATATAGCAAAAATAACTCATTTTCAAACCGCGATAACTCTTCGGTTTTATGGAGCAAATTTATGTTTTAACGTATCAATATAAAGAGTAAACATTCCTGAATTCACTAATGTAATTTTATTTTAGTTTCCTTGTAAAAAGTACAATTTACTCCAGAATATTTCAAGGCCACGTTTCCAACACCCAAAACATGCATAAATACAATGGGAATTTAACACAAGTAAAATGCGATATATATATACAAAATTATTCAAAACTTCTTTTATTAAATTACTAAACAAAAAGGTTATCAAAACATACCTTTGAGAAAACGAGATCTTCACAGCAAAAATCGCAATATATTTCAACAGTTTTTAATCGAACGGCGTGTTGAGAATAAATAGCTTGAATAATAATGAGCCGCACTGATTCGCGCGGTGCTTTTCGGGAAGACCTTCATTCCTCCTCTGAATAAGGGGTTTGTACAGGATATAAAGCACTGTTAAAGAAGTAGGAGTGATTTGTAAGGACGATCCATAAGTATCACATAAGATGCATTAAAACACCGACCAAGCTTTAGATTCGAAATACTAAGAACTGTTTATCAGCACGTGAATCTACTGCACGCACGTGACTTATTTTCTTTGATTTGATAGGTTATGCTAAGTTTGCATTCGTGGAATTTGTCTGAGTTGTCTATTCTTGTTATGAATCTGAACCGGATTTCAATTGAATAATTTTGAAAACTAATTAATTGTAATTAGTAATAATAGTGTAACGTATGTGATTTTAGAGTGTTAAGGAACAATTATACAAACTATTAAGCTTGGCGCCATCCTTGTGTTAAACAATAATTGCATTATTGATATTGAGAATATGATAGAGTACTGGCAGTAATATTGTAATACCCACTACATTGTTATAAAACAGGAGAAAATCAGTACAAACTAAGTGAATCAGGGCTCCTAATATCAAATATGCAGCCGGGAACTATATTGTGTCAAACCTTACCACATTTTTCAGAATTTTTTCGTCTTAAAAATTTATTGTTACCCTGTAAATTTCGGTTCTATAATATATATGCCACACAGGAGTGACAAACATTGGACAATCAGTCCATAATCGTCTGGACAAAGTCTCGACTCCAGTCCACAATGTAAAGTCTCAACCCATAGCTCTATGTGTAGATGACGTCATTGGTCACCAAGGTGGAGATACTAGAGAGTTTGAGTAAGACAACGAAGTACGAAGACGTACTGGACAATTTTTGCCAGTTTGCACATCGCCCATTTGCCCATTTGCAGTCGTGAGAGCAAGCGTCTTTCACCTCTGAGTTCGTGGGTTCCATCAGTCTTGCTACGGACTCATGTGAAAAGAGTCAGTCAACGCTCTGCCGAAAGTCGTGGGTTTCTCCGGGTGCTCCGGTTTCCTTCCACAGGGAAAGTTGACATGGTGGGTTTGGATAAACACAGTTAGGAACGTAATATCTCAATTGCTGTAAGATAAATAGTCTAGGCTAAGTATGTGACATGAGCGTAATACTTGATGTAATCGGTCACCTGAATAATGTAATGTATAATGTAATGTAATCTTAAGCGTCTATACTGAGTTTGCGGTCACTAGTGATTGCTCAAAGCTTCTTCCCATTATAGGTTCATGTCTAAATGTTTATGAATACTCACCCTAATCTTTACCTTGCCCCAGTCAAAACAGCGAGATATGAATCCATATCCCGTCTTTGTTTTTCGTCGTTCAGAACGAAGGTTACGACGAACATGCCACGTTTCTAGGTTGGGTCCTATCAAGTTCAATTTCTAAATATGTATTTTTAGGTTTTAACATTGTGCCTCGCAATACACCCGAAACATTTGGAGACTTTGAGCAAAGATCGATCGTGGCAAAGTTTTATCACAGATTTGGTATTACTCTGCAATCACAGGTACGTTATTGAAACCATCTATAACACAGCTCAAAATATCCTGGTCCTAGAAGCGCTTAATGAACGGTAACCAGGGTAAGCTCAGAACAACATTGTTGTTCATTCCGCACGCTCTCTCTAACTGAAGTTGGTTTGATCACTGGTATTTTACCCGATGACTAAATTAACGTGGCAGTTAAGTCCGTTCTGCTCATGGTCGTGGTTTGTTTATCTATTCTCTTTTGAAACGTATTAAAATAATGTTGCAACCTGCACTCACAACTACGTAGGTATTTGACAATGTGTTATAGCTTTATTTTGATGAAATTATGTATATTAAACAAGTACATGATAATTGTTATATTTCTTATAACTTGAAATACTAAACTATAAAACACGCGCCCTTGTTGTTGTCGTCCTTCAGCTTATTTCATGCATGCCGGTTCAAGCTGGTGAAATAAGCATATTAAATACAAGAAAAGAAAAATTTGACCTCTGTGTTCAGTAGTAAATACATAAACAACTGATATACAGTGTGAGTCTATACCATTATGCCCACCATGCACTCCACCCACCGCTGTCACATGACATGTAACTGAACAACGTTTCTCAGTATTATCTAAAACAGGTCTAAAATAGTTTAATCAAATTCACCGTCGGAATTTCCATATTCAAAAAGCCTTCAATGTTTCAATTATTTAGTGCTTTAAGATGGTACGTCGTAGAACAATTCTTCCTTATGGCAACCCGATGTTCAGATGGCCACAGACCGTTGATTTTTCTTATCACTTTGTTATTTTCTGTTTTAACGGTAAGTTATTTTTTCTATATTTCTCGAATTAATGTGAAAATTTTATCAAAACATAGACTTCCAATCGAATACAAATTGCCACGCTTGAACTTATGGAGAGATAAGCACACTGCCTTGGCAAAGTAATTATTAAATCAAATTTTACTACCTCATATTTTCGTACAGTCATTTTATTATACACATGTTTTGACTATTTGTTATTGACAGGGTTAATTGTTTGCGTTAATGCTTATTTAATATTTTCTTTTTTTGTCTTTGGTTAGCATCCGAGCTCCTAAGTAACGACAACTTTCAAATTTTTAAAACCCTGCCTTATACGCGTGTAATTTTGTAATGTTTATTTTATTTCACTCTATGCAGACAATAGTGGAAGACAACCCTGGAACAAGTGGAGAATATTTCACACTGCTCTCAAAGTAAGTCAAATGATTCACTCCTGCGGAGTCGTGTAAGGAGTCCTACGCTTTCGTAATCACAGACAGGAATTAACATACCGAATAATAAAATATTTCTCTTGCTCAATTGTCGTAAGTAAGCCTCCATTTTTTTTTCAATACGACACAGTGATAGAGAAATCTAATAAAAATATATTGAAAACACAAATGTTTTGTTCACTTTTCCTACAACACCGCCTTCTTTCAAGAACAATTGACCACGTTACCCCCCCCCCCCCCCCCCAACCCCCAATGGTCTGTCGCGTACGCACAGTCCGCCATGTCACATCCTGTTTCTAATTCTACTGATCTAAGTAATTAATCTGAACTAACGAATCTCCAGCACAATGACGAGAATCCCAGGAACAACTAAATAAAATAAATGTTATGTTTTGTGCTTTTTAGGTTATTAAATTTTGCTCACACTGTAACTGCACCGTATTCAACAGCAGAGAAGTTATTAGCGAATGAAATCGCGTGGTTGAAGAGAGCAAAGGTTCGATACTATGCCCAGTACATATACAGCCGGCCATCTTGAAAACCTTCTTGACTATTAACAGGGCACTTATAAGTATTTCACTTATTCGTGGTACATATATATAGGGCTAATGGTAACTCAAAAACAATTTCCATTAACTGTTTATCCAGCTAGGAATTTAAGTTCTTGGGAGTGTTTCTAAATTTCCAGGATGTGTTCATGCCAATTACCTTGATAGCCAACGATTCCAGTTATGCTCGCCAACAGTAGACTGTGGTTCTATATTTTACAATCAAATACAAGGCGAGCATACGCATTAAGTTATTTTAGCAACTCTTGGGCAGTTGGGAGCATCTAAAGCCATTTAACACTATACGGTTCACATTACCTATATATTCATCAAAACATTAAAACATCGCGGATCACATTTACCAATTTCAACAAACTAGATCTTACTAACTGTCTTACGACTTAAATACGAGGAAATTCTGTCTGTTGTAAGTAGCAACACACTGTATTTTATGAACCTACACGGCTATATATAAATAATGAAGCCGCCCTCATTTGATCTACGTAGCCTAAGACACTGTTAGCATGACGTTTTACTCCTCACAAGCCGAAGGAAGTCCTTGGTTGATGGAGGGTTCTCTTGAGTCCTGTTATCTTCGAAGTGAGACATGCTTGTAAATTTTATCCACTCATGTAAAGCATGGAATTTTTGTTCATTCAACTCATTTGTCTTTTGTTATAATTTTCATTTCCGTCCCAAACCCTAAAATAAATGATGACTGGTCCTTTGGCTAAATGTAAAGAAATTTGTGACCATATTTTGAATAACTAAAAAAGAGTTAAATTAACAAACTATTATGCTGGGGTTGTTCCCACGAACAGAGTGTGTCTGGTGCAGTGCTGTAGTATTCTGGATAGAATCATTACTTTGGGCGCGCCACCAAATTACAACAACAACAATTTTTTATATATGTTTACTGACATAACCTAAACGAATTAATCTCGATTTTTATGTTTAGGATTTGGTAAAATCTTCTGGAAGTACCGAAGCTGTTGCGGGTTGTTTGCTAGAAGGACATCTTCTTATTACGAGAGAACTGTTATTGTTTTTAAGTCCAACGAAAAAACATCAAGTTGGTTGCCACTCTAATGGACCTTGTCTTGTCAAGGTAGAACGATCGTTATGTCAAAATAATAGAGAGGTTAAGATACCCGGTTCCGTTTTACGGGTACGAGTATCGCCATTTTGTTTACCAATTTTTGCTGATGTCAGCATTTTACCCGTAATTTCTACCCGTTTCCCCGCAGTAAACCAAGGTCTACACGTAAAAGACAAACGGGTACGGGTGTTTTCTGTTTACTATTTGTGGGCCGTTTAAATAGTAAAAATTTTCAACAGACTTACCCAAATAAATAATGCACTTATGCTCGTCAAAGTCTTCAACAATCTATGGCAAACCTCAACAGCGAAAGCTGCCATTCTCTGATAGGTTTACTCACGCCGGAATATCTTGGATTTCTTATGTTACAAGTCGTTCCCCGGTTTACGGGTACGGGTACGTGTATATCACCCGTACCCGTAAACCGGAACCGGGGTATCTTAACCTCTCTAATATTGCAATTGACCTTTCCAGTAATTACGTCACAACTACATTGTTTTCAACTTAGGACCACCTTAAATCACGCTTAAATGGAATGGAGTTCAAGTTCTTTCCCACTGGCTATGCGCAAAGAAGCAGAACATCCTTCTTTAACACATGCATGATAAAAAATGTATTATTTCGACCAATAAATGCGGGAATAAGCTTTAACACGAAAACGAGGCTGAGGGGCCCAAAGGAGCCATGGCCCCTCAGCCTCGTTTTCGTGTTAAAGCTTAGTCTCACATTTATTCGTCAAAATAAATAAAATCGTTTTCATGCATGTGTTGAAGAAGGATGCTCTGCTTCTTTGCGCATAGCCAGTGAGAAAAAAATTGAAATCCATTCCATTTAAGGTGATCCTAAGTTGAAAACAACGTAGCTGTGACGTAATTACCGGAAAGGTCTATTGACGTTGCATTAATGTTTCACTATAAACATTTTATGTGTGGATGGGGTTTATGGGGGGGGGGGGAGTACCAAATCTATCCTTAATGTATTTCCAACTAAATTTTGGTCCCTAATTCTGAAAAGCTTACACCAGCTCGGCTCTTGCCGACGGTATTTCCTGGAACACTGCATGCCTCAATGATCGCGTCGTGCTTGATGATCATCGATCACGAAGCACCCGCTATCAGATCAGGCTTGATACATCTCTGGTTTTATGAAACTTTTTTTTACCGAAATTTAAAGTATGTATTGTGATGTCTTCGCCTGGTAGAATTATATTTCGTCGACTATGCACGATTAACATTCACAATTTTTGGGCGTCTCGCTCTCGATAGAACTGAATGTTGAATGGTTTATATGTTCAAGGTTTACTGTATGTTCCTATTTTCGCAGCTACTGCGTGAGTTATCAAATCCGATAATGATTACTTTTTAATATGCATGCAGGGCAGGTTATATTTTTTGTTGCTTTCCGTACAAAGCCAAGAAATATTGCATTATTTCGTAGTCCTATTTAATTTTCATTATATTACTTTTTTAGGAATTATTAGATGAGTTTATTTTCCCAGCATCAAAAATCGTCATAGAGTCAAGAAAATGTGGAGGTAAACCTATTATTTAATTCCAGGTGTTTATTTGAAGTTTGTCCAAAGGCTACAAGTATGTGTATTCAGCTGTATAGGTATCTTTTTAACACAAACCAAAATCCTGATATTTGCCCATACACCTACGTTGGTATCACCTTAGTATCTTTTTAATACAACCTCTTACCCAGGCTCGTTATAAGAGGAAGGAGCGAAGTTACATTAAAAGTAACGTTAAAAGTTACGCCCAAAATATTTTCATCTATGGAAAATCTCACCCTCTGAAAGGGGAAATGTCTTGCTCTGATACATGGTGGTGGGTTTGCCCATATTGAGGTAAATCCGAAGCCCATGCACGATTTTGTAGGATTTATTCTCATATTAATACCTTTTAACGTTGTAGTGGGTGTTTACGTTTATTACTGGTGATTGTTTAGATGTGTGGGATAAACCAGTGATCGCTGTATGTAATACGTCACCAACCCTTGTTGCTGCGTTTGAGTTATTGGTGTCATTGTGTGCTGGTTGTATTGAGAATCTGCAGTATGTCGCTAATGCACTCACAGAATTGTATTACTCAGGTACGATCCGTCAGCTCCTTAATGATCTCCATTGTTAAACACTGTAATAACTTTACAAACTTTCGGAGCGCGTTGCAAATGCTATTCGAGAATGACCTTTCGTCCACTTGCGTGAATGAATTGAGAATTTTTTGAGCTTTGCAAAACACGCTCGACTTTTCGGATAGCTCTCTTTCTCAACTCCTTACCATCGGAAATCCATCAAACTTCAAGGCTTGACAATTACTACACCTAAGTGAATGGTCAGTTCATTTGTGTTTTTTTTATATCTGAATTAGAAGGATATTGCATAGGGTTTAATAGTTGAAAAAGCTCGGGTTTTAGCTACCCTTTAGAGACGTTGAGAAAATATGTACATTTATGTGGGGCTATCCGCTTCCTTTCATCCTCCGCCAACTGTGTTTATTCATGTTCTGTATGCAGGAAATGAAATGCCTCTCTTGGAGTGGGAATACACTCCTCCTATTGGACCACGACCTATGAGAGGATTTGTTGGATTGAAAAATGCAGGAGCGACGTGTTACATGAATTCTGTCATTCAACAGGTATGTTGATATACAGTACTAGCAGCAATGCGAAACTTCGTTACCCGATTATTTTAAAAATAATCATCTTTGCGATTATTTACCGATTAATCGTCTCATTTCTACCAGAAATGATGTTTCCACAACGGAGTCTCCTGTTTTGTCCAGGGTTTAATTGAAGTAATCAACATTGGATTTTGTAATCATGCCCTCGTATTTTATACTTTCGTGAGAATAGTAAAATCCTATGCAGGTTTGAGAGGAGAGGGGTGTTGGAGAGGAGGGTTTAATATGGGAGAAGCAGGCTTATTGTATGCATGGCTTATTAGAAGCAGGCTTAAATGAGGCATAAACGAGGAGAGGCAAGATTATTGGCTTAGAAAGACAGCGGCGAAGTAGCGGAGCTATCCATGGCAACAGTAAAGACATTACATTTCTAAAGTTTTGAATAATTTATAAATCAAATGAAAAACTTGCATAGCATGACCAGCTGCTACGGCTAGCTTCGCCACTGAACTGGCGTGATTGATCACAATAAACCTTCGGGAAAAGAAATAAACCTTGAAGTACACATTCGTTTTTGTATTATGAAGGGGGAGTCTCCAGGGTGGGGCTTAATAGATTTCTTCCTGATATTTGACATTTATCTTTATTAAATAAGATAGGGGATTTGTTTTAGAGGTTTTAAGATATTATAGCTTCTTTGTACTGTAGTTATTCAAATTCGTAACGTCTATATGATCGATTAAAGGCTCTTTTCCATTTGTTACAAAAACCAACTTGCTGCGAGTGCTTGCATCTAATTTAAATAAACTGTCGAGCATTGTGATTGGATGAAAGTATTCGTAGCGAGCTTGCGAGTTGACTCTTGTGATGAATGGAAAAGAAACCTAAGTGATCTATTTTGCTTTTTTTTATTCTAGTTGTTCATGATTCCTAAGATTCGAGAAGGCATCCTAGCTGCGGAGGAAACACTAACATTACCAGACGAAGAATGTTTGAATGAGGAGGAGAAGGCAGAAAGTGAAAGTACTGTTGATACAGGATATCAGTCTGAAGACTCGAAAGACAATAGTAATGAGAAAGATAATAACAGAGAAAAGGAAGCAAAACTGAACTTAGAATATCAAACGTCTATATTAAAACAATTACAGTTTATATTCGGTCATCTCAGTGCAAGTCAGCTACAGTATTACGTACCTCAAGGCTTATGGAAAACATTTAAGTAAGTATTAAACAGTGATATGCAGAAATGTCATTTCTGAAATATACAAATTGAAGTTGCCTGTCACCTTTGAAGCTTGAAGTAAATGCACCCCTGCGTTCAGGAGCTAAAAATACCCATTTACACGTGGGTAGACAGTAGCAGCGAAAATATTCGATTTTCTAGGGAATCTATATGCATTTATTCTCCTTAAATTGTCAGTCTCTTACTAAGACGTTGTCTTAAAAGATGCCATGCATGATGTGCGTGGTTTTAGAGACGTTGAGAAAATAATATGTACATTTATGTGAGGCTGTTCGCTTCCTTTCATCCTCCACCAACTGTGTTTATTCATGTTCTGTATGCAGGAAATGAAATGCCTCTCTTGGAATGGGAATTGCCAATTGTGGTTACGATTGACATGGCTGCGGTACTATCTTGAGTTACAGCGGGTGTGTTCAAATAGTGAAATTCGTACTATGGAAATAATATTTACATTACTAAATCCGTAATACATATTCAATGTATGGAACCATTATTATGCAAATTGATTTCCATACTATTTCCATAGTAAGGATTTTGGAAAAAGAAATTCAATGTACAACGCCATGCGGTAGGGTTTTCCCTTCCCAACTTCTGAAGGAGTAATTCAGATTCCTGTGTAGTAAGACATTCAAAGTATGAGAGAGAAATAACAACGTTTATCTTTCTCTCACAGATATCAAGGTGAACAAGTAAACCTCCGAGAACAACATGATGCTCTGGAATTCTTCAATAGTTTAATTGATATTTTGGATGAAGGATTAAAAGCGTTAGGGCATGAACCTGTTCTTATCCGGATACTTGGAGGAACTTTCGCCGATCAAAAAATATGTAAAGGCTGTCCACACAGGTTTGTTTGTCTTTTGTTTATGTTGTTCACGCTCTGTTAATTAATTAGTAGAATAATCATTATTAAAAAATTAATTAATTATTATTAAGTAAAGCAGCTAATTGTCAGTGTATTACTTATAGTTAATTAGTTACGTAATTAGTTGGTCAGATAGTTCACAAGTTAGTATAAATTGTTTGTTGTATGTAACAAGTTACTTAGTAATTTAGTTATTTTGTGACATGGTTACCAAGTTATGAATGGTTGATTGAGTAAATGTCAGAATAAGTTCCTTGTACGTTTGCATGGCGATAAAACATATAATAGTTTTGTTTGTGGAAACACCGCGTGAATTTATTACTGCAAAGCTTTCGATCCGTAAGCCCGGATCTTCATCAATGCTAATAATAAATTTACGTGGTGTTTCAACAAACAAAACTATTAAATGTCAGAATATTTCTCACTCGATTGAACTAACGTTGAAGGAGATTGTAGTGGAAATTTGGACTGTATAAATTGTATACATTTATTTATAGAGCGAACCAGGAACAGCTGTGAAAAATGTATCTATATGCCTTCTGACAGGAAGCAAACCTGTAGCCCTGCGTTTCCAGTGCAGTTCTAACCAGCTCGACAATTGGGCTCTGTGGCTTGATTCCTGCCAGAGGGCATATATATAGTTACATTTCTCGTAGCTGTTCCTGGTTAGATCTAAATAAATGTATAAAATTTATACAGTCGAAATCTCCATCTACAATCTCCTTCAACGTCAATGGTCGATTGCGTATCTCGTTCGTTGTTTCCTTCGTTGTTTGGCTATTTCCTAAGTAAGGTAGTAGATAGTTCATTGATGAATATGTCTTGTGCGAATAAAATAATTTTATGCACCAGAGTATGCATTTCTACTGAAAATACGTAATGTGCATGATTGTTTTCTGTTTAGGTATTCCAAAGACGATCCATTTATTGCACTAACTATTGATATTCGCAATCATCAAAACCTCATTGAATCACTTGATCAGTTTGTAAAAGGAGATCTACTTGAGGGGGCTAATGCTTATCATTGTGATAAGTGCAATAAAAAGGTGGGCGGATCTACACATTATTTATGCGGAGTATTTTCTTAGGTTTGCATTCTACATTTGCCGAACTGTGCCAAATATCCAAACCGAGTTTTGCATGAAACACTCCAGGAGAACAGTAATAAGTTAATTAATCCAGTATTTAATTCCGCAGGGCGCTTATACAGTGGGCGGCGTACCTAATTCATTGCTGTTTTTTGCCCAAAGTACGATCGTGCCAGTCTTTCCGCATCGTACTTTGATAAGCACGATATGACAGCGTTGCCATGCCTCGTTATGCCTCGTATATAAGCGCATTGATCCAACTGTAACCCATTGATCTGACATTTGATGTTATTTTAGGTTGACACCGTGAAACGAATGTGTTTCAAGAAACTACCTAAAGTATTAGCTATCCAGCTCAAAAGATTTGATTACGACTGGGAAAGGTACAAATTATTTGCAAAATATTTTTTCATTTTAGTTCGTAATTCTCGTTGGATTGATTGCTTTGCTTCACTGCTAACTATCGCAAGCATCGTCTGTGATAGTTACTGCAAGCATCGTCTATGATGAAGTTTCATTCATCAACACTTTATCACACAAACTTAAAATTATTTAAGTTCTGTGTATGTTTGCATGGCGATAAAACATAAAAAAATGGAAAGGCAGAGGGAAAAGAAGAGAAACATTTCCGTGGGTAATTCATGAAAATCAGTGTTTCCACTTTCCAAAATGATTTTTTCTAATTTTTTCCTAATGGAAAGTAACTTAAATAAATATGAAAAGCTTTACTGAGAATTGCAAATTTACTATATAATAACTTATAACTGGCTAATTTATAATTTAGGTATTTTATTCTATCTTGGGGAGGGGAGAAATATACTATGTCACAGTATTACTATTAGGTACAGGCCTTTGAGGCTGATGTAGTAAAGATATGGGGAAAAGAATCGAATCTGAAAAGAAGGGGGGGGGGGAATCAAAGTTCATTGAAGAATATACACCCCTGAATTTATTACTATTATTTAAATTATTTGCTTAAAAAGAACATCTTAATGCTCAATCTTGGCTATAGAAGATATTGGGTTTAGAGCCCTTTACTTTGTTACAGGTCACATATGTACGAAACCATATTGTTATATCAATGAATATAAAATATAAATGAATATAAAATATGACATAATTTATAATTATGTCATCAGTAACAAGATAAAGGGCTCTGAAGCCAATGTCTCATCACGGAAACGAGGCTCAATAACCACAGCTCAGTGCTTTCTGGAAGGGTATATTAAGATCGATTTTTGGCTGTCAGAATTAATAAGGGGCAGTACTTCCTTAGTCTCCGCCACTAGTAGTATTGGTCCAAAGAGTTTCACAGCTTTGATTTGTTTTGTGTTGTTTTCATTATCAGGGATGTTGCTGTAAAATTTAATGACTACTTTGAATTTCCAAGAGAGTTTGATATGGAACCATATACTGTTGAAGGACTAGCAAGAATTGAAAGTATGCGTTTCAGTTGTGGAGTAGTAGTAATGGCTAAACAGATAGTTATTACCAAACATACAGGGTTATCAGTTTGACCCATACCCCAAGGGACTACGTCCCAGATATATTGAACTTTTGAAATATAAATATAAAATTTAAATACGAATGGTTTGACGAAATGGAGAGTTATCTCCAGAACGTTAAGTTTGAGAGTTTAAGTTCGAGGCACACCTAAACCACGCCGGCTATTATCTCTCTTGCATGAAGGAACTGAAATAAAATTGCCCTCACTTATGTCAGTGAGTGTCTTAAACCCTCAGAGTTTTATATCTTTTTTCTAAACATAAAGCATATTAGGGTTTAGAATTGGTTTGTTCAATAAATTAAACATAATAAGCTGCAAAATTCATTTTGTTAAATTTCTGTTTGATCAGATGAATCGGCAGAAGAAAACGAGAACAACACAGAAGTGACAGAACATAGTGGTAACGATCGTAGAGAACACCCAAGTACAAAATATCGTTTAGTTGGTGTTGTCGTACATAGTGGACAAGCATCTGGCGGACACTATTATTCGTATATCAGGTATGACTCACAAGCACTGGGGAACTTATACAACGGAGCAGCTGAAACATTTTAAATTCTTGATGTTTCGTGAAATGTTTCCCTGTTTGCTCACCCTGTTTGTTGACAGGGTTCGTACGCCCCCTGGAAATCCTGGAAAACATTTCTGCACGCCTGTTTGACTCAAAGCTTCAGAAAATAGAACTTCTATTGATCCAGACAAGACTTCTTGGAAAATATTTTCAAATATATAAACAAACTGTTGGAAGCTTGCTTTAGGGTTTTTTAGGTTAACCTAGGATTAAGGTAATCGATTTTTGATTTAAACAATATTTAATTTAAGATCATGCAGTAGATAATAGTAATCACATATCCTAAATAACTGTTGATAAAATTCCGTTTTTTGTCAATTTTAGAACAACAGCTCATGGTTATACGAATTGGTTCAAATTTGATGACGGAGATGTCAGTGACTGTAAAATGGATGATGACGAGGTACCTTACTGTGTTATTGTGCAGTACCTTACTATTTTCGTTTTTACTCTGAAAATCGTGGTACAACCTGGAGTAATTTTCCGTGCATGTCAGTCATTTCATTGGAGTTATTTTCAGTGCATAAGATTAATTATTATGGCCTTACCTGGATGTATAATAAAAATCATTTTGTATAATTTGAACGTGTTCAGGAAATGAAGACGCAGTGTTTCGGTGGTGAATATATGGGCGAAGTGTTTGATCACATGATGAAAAGGTGAGATACCATAATTAGTACATAACATTGTATTATTGAAATAGATGATTGTTATGGGAATGCATCATTCCATTTTAGTGGACCTTTGCGTAATATACTTTCCATAACAATAGTGCCATCACGATCCAATGCTCAGAATATTCCATTGACTTTTCGTTGTTTTGGAAATCCTACTGTTTTCCATGCCATCTAGCACTTATTGTTTTCACTTATTTACGCAAATGACCTACTGACATATATTTGGTGGATTGAATTGATGGTAAAACTACAGTATAAGTTTCGGATAAGAATTTTCCATTGTCTCGAGGCCAGTTGTACGAAGGCTGGATCGGATAGTGATTTTTCAATCTTCGTAGAAATGCCTAATATTCTGTGAAACTGCAGATATGATCCTTACAAATCTCATTCTTTCTTTATAATTTTAGAAAGTTTGAAAGAAATACTTATCTTTTGGATAGCCCTATCTGGTTTTCGTACAACCGGCCCCTGCGAATTGTTTCTTTGCTCTATATATACATGTGGCATACATGCATGTCTGAATGATATGCCTCTTTTTATTAGGATGTCGTATCGTCGTCAAAAAAGATGGTGGAATGCTTACATTTTATTTTACGAAAGAATGGATGATCAAGATAACTATGGCAACGTTGCTCTTACGAAAGGTAAATTCCAACTACATAATTATATCATCTTTGATCATACCTGTAATATAGCCTAGATGCGGGCACCCAGCCTTAACATTTGGCTGGCTCCTATGCGCAGGCTATATTAAATACCAAAAAGATTTGACAAGCGACGTATATACAATATCGAGCGTCGAAGGATGATGATAGACGTTTCTGCTTGACGTGACATGATTGCCCTTCATCATTTGAAGAACTGCTGTCGCCACAATTTATGTGTTTGACGTCCTTGTTGTCAAAAACGTGACATGCTTTTGTTCGATGTCCTACTCAGACCATCCTGATCGCAGGTTATGTACTTGTGCACCATCGCATATTGTTACGACGTTTTATGGTTATACGATATTTTGATGGGTTATTTTCGTTCATGTGATTGTCTGCTATAAAAACAGCGAACGTGCATTCAACTGTTTCTTCTTACTAACTATCATGACAAAGGCACTCGAAACGCCCGAATCCTTCGCTTGTATCCCTCAAGCTGGAAGTACCAACGATTTCCAACCGCCACAGGCATGTCTTCATCGCGTCTTTCAAGTGTTATTCATTTGCTTTTAGATTTTAAAATCCCAGGTGTAATTGAACAGGAAGTCAGAAAACAAAATATGGAATTCTTACACAACAGAATACAGTTTTCGAATGAATATTTCGATTTTATAAGAAAACTAGTAACGGTGAATATTAATTTAGACTCGGTAAGTACATCAGCTATGTTTAAAACTAACTTAACAGGGCTCCATGAAAGTAACCGGTTAGTAAAAATTTTGCTATGTTGCAGTATTTATGATGAACGCCTGTATAAGCGATACGAGACGAGGGGCCAGAGGGAGGCTGCAGCCCCCTCCCCCCCCCCCCGCAATATTGAAGTTGGGAAATTAGAAACGTAAGTTGGCCAAAATGCAAAAAAGTCGGGCAAATTTTTTACGTACGCCTATGAATGCATGATCGTCAAAACGTTGAATAAAAATTGCTTTGCCGCCTTTAGAGTTATGTGGCAGTCAGATTAAAATCTTGTGTTAATAATAATTTTTGTTTGTTAGGAGGATGTTGAAGATCTTTCATTAATCAGTATAACACTATTATCCAAATTTTTGTTTACATGTGGATTACGGACAAAGAAAACGATAAGGTTAAAAAAACCAGGTTTCCATATGGCCGTAATAGTCGTAAAGAGTGAGTCGCGATCCGAAATACAACAATTTAGAACTGAAAATATACAGGGTGATTCAGGGTCTTAGCTAGCGGGCCGTGTTGACCGTGTTATCGTGGCCAAAAGTGGAAAAACACGGCTAGATAAAATTAACGCTGCCTTACTATTTTTATATAAGGCCGTGTAGGTTCATAAAATAAGGTGGTGCTACTTACAACAGACAGAGTTTCTTCCTATCTACGTCGTAAGAAAGTTTGTAAAATCTACTGTTGTTGTTGAATTGGCAAAAGTGATCCGTGATGTTTTAATATTTTGATGGATAATGGGAACTGTATGGTGTTAAAATGGTTTTAAATACCCCCAAGAGTTGCTGAAATAACTTAATATTTTAATGTTAGTGCGCAATATGAGCGTATGCTCGCCTTGTATTTGGTTGCAAAGCATAGAACAACCACAAGCATAGTTGTTGTTGGCGAGCATAACTAGAACCGTGATTTTGCTATTCAAGGTAATTGACATGTGCACACCCTGGTCATTAGAAGCACGCGCAAGATCTAAAATCCTAGCTAAGAGCCTAAGACCCTGGGGTGATTATAAATTAGAGAATACTTATGTTTTGTATGTGGCTTATAGGTGAAAAACACATTTTATAATATAATAATCCGGCCGTTGAGAAAGATCGTGACTCTATCTTTACGACCGTTACGAACACATGGAAACCTAGCTTTTATACAATTATTACTTTTTTTGCAACAGTAAATTCGCCATAACTGATCTGGTGCGTACACGTATACATAGCTCAAACCCAACCCACAGCTGTAATCACTGTGCCACCTACTATGATACGGTTGAAGTAGAAAATCCTAAAAAACCTAAATGTGGGCTTTTCACAAGCCATCGGGCCGGTGCTTTATCCCGGTTACTGAAGGCCCAATTACAGTGGTGGCCTAACATCCAACCTCGTATCCAGGCTATTTTCTCTCACACTCTGGTGCCACGGCCACCTGGCCCAAACATGTCTAAATATTGGGTTCGCTGCTTATTTGTCAAATATCTTGGATGAAATCACAAGATTGAAAATCTGTGCTTTAAAACATTCGTGAAAGAAACGGTATAAAAGATTATTTGAAAATTAATGAGAAAAAGAATGAACCTGGAAATAATATTAAAGGCTCAGTGTCACCTATTGAGCGATGATATTTATTTGCTAAAATTTACTGATTCCATTTGATTTTATACACGAACTTTTTCAAACTGGACCATGTGCGCATGCTCAGCAATAAATTTATAGCTATTTAAACCTTAACAGGGCAAGCTTTCATGCTAACGCCCATTAGTTGTACCTACTGAACCATAGCACGTGGGCAAGGCTTAACAGCTCTATACCTATATTGTTCGTGACCATTGAAATACAAACGGACACTAAAACTGCCTCGCAGTATCTTTCAATCAGTTGTCTGTTTTGTTTACAGAGGCCCTGCTGGTGATTGGTATGAGGCAATAACGGGATTATTACGTCAGAGTAAAACTGTTCGTTTGTGGTTTGCTCAGAATGTCTTGTTTGCTCATCCCGAAAGAATTTCAGAATATCTGTTAGAATCACCAACAGCAGAGGTACAAATAATTTGATGGTATACAGTAGTTTTGAATTGTAGAATTGTAGTAGAAGTGTCGAAGATGGTCGTTGTCTTTCGCCTGTAACCTCGTGCATTACATGCAACTGTTAATGCCAACAGAGTACTTACATTTAATAAGGGTATTCTAAAACCTATGTTACCTGACATCGACAGCAATTATGCATCCTGAGTCTCACGCCTCCCAACACACACACGCGCGCGCACACAAAATACGTCTATCTTCAAAAAGAATGAAAATATTTTATGTCAGTTTTATAAGAAGCAAAGTATTTATAGTAAAAATCCAACACTCTATTGTCAACATAACGTTGGCTCAAGCCGGGCTATCGTTAGTCTCCTGTGCATACCTAGGGTATCACACACACTTCATATCATGCCTGTATCTTTTATTTTTGTGGAGGAGTTAACTTGTGACTTCAAAATTCTTAAGTTTCGAGATTTTAAAGGTTACATTTTAGAATTTGACCTACCCCGCCCCTAGGATAATGGGGGTATCCCTCTCGATGGCTCCCTAACTTCTGTAGCCTAGCTTGATATAAACGAATTACGTAGTAGTAATAATGTAATAAAAGAATGGTGTGTTTCTCTGCAGGTACGTACGATGTTCTCGAAGATGTTGGTATTTCTATGTCGTGTATCTAGACCTGATGGTGAATGTGATCCTCCTTACGTTTTGGAAGAAAAACAAATGGACGCAAATAAAGGTAAGATATACACGTCTCCCAAGTTATGTGTTTTGCATATTGTGCGTTTAATTTCAACAGACGCGCATGTGTGTGACCTGGTTTTTCTTTGTGTTGCATTAAATATTTAATTTTCCAATAATAAATTTATCCATTGTTTGTAGATTACCCATTCAGGTCTGCCGAGAGATTTAACTTGGCACGGGAAAATTTTCCATGGGTCCCTCTGGCCAATCTCGTACTAGCCCTGGGTACGAGGTTGCCCTGTGGCGTCTTTTTTCAAACAGCAGAATCGTTGCTATATAACTCTGAATTTACCAGCATACAAGGGCTTGAACCACAGAGATGGGCCCCCACTTTAGTTTGTAAAATGACCCACGTGCCTGTTGACTGTGGCAAGATATTTGGGACGTTGGGTCGTCAGGAAGAGACAGCTCAGTCGTTCGGTTAACAAGTTAATATTATATGATTTTCTATGTTTTACACTCGCATCCATACTGTCAAAGATCTACTCATTAACAATGAAATCATAATTGTATTTCCTAACAGTTTCCATTGTTTAGTTCATGTCATTCCATCACATTTCATCGCTCATGTGTCTTGATGCTAAGATAACTCTCCTTAACGAGTGAAATCGTCTGGCGTTAGACAAAGTAAAATAACACTGTAGGGCGCATTATGGGCCACTTAAAGGTTTAATATTAAGTTATTTAATTTAGTACAGGTTCCCGTTCACTTTTTGGCAACATGCTGAGATTACCCAGAATAGATAATTATTTTCGTTCAGTAAGAACATATACATGCCCATATCCGTTATGCACCATGTATCACCCGTATATGAACACGTATGAGAAATCCCGGCAAGTGTATAATGTAATTTTCTGTGTTATTCTCAGATATCTCAAGAACTGTCCTGAGTGAATATTTACTCCGTGCTATATTGAAGTTACTACATAAAGAAGTGCCGGAAAATGGACGGAATTTACATCAATATTTCTCATTCTTTTGGATGTACGCTAATCTCGGTGTTGCTGAGGTATCGAACGCATTTTATTTCTTTAGTTTTTTTAGTTACCATACAAACCCCCTCGATGGTTTGTTCTGATAGACTTCTCCAAATGTTTGAAATTCCAAGAAGAAGGGTGGGGATGTTTTAGTGAAAGATTATGCACAGCTTATATTTAACTTGAATAGGGGTGCAACTGCGATGAGTATAGCTATAGTATACAGAAACAGTAGCCTAATTCAATTCATACAAGAGCGTGTATATATATATATATTATTTATTATACGCTTACATGCTATTTACCAATCACGAGTCTTCAATTGGGTCACGTGCATGGAATTGTACGAGTTTTTTTTATGCACACTTGTTTTCAAAAACTAAGTTATTAACTTTTTTGTTTAGTTATTTAATTAAGCAATTTCACCGCCGATGTGTGATACATGTTGTCGCTGTATTATTCTCGCTATATTACTACAGTTCGATGTAATAAAACAGCTATTGGATTCATCTTCGCCCAATATGGCAAATGGGCTCGACCTTCGCTCTCGACTTAATATTTTGCCATATTGAGCTCAGAAGAATGCAATTTGGAAATGAAAACATGAAATACATTACTCACTCATTTGAATGGCACATGCAACAACATTCTTTTTTCAGCACTGTGTTTCGATAAAATTGCACTCCTCTTAGCCAGTCAGAATGGAATATTTTTTTCATGTGTATATTATTAGGCTACATATCTCACAATCTTGCTAATCTTAAGTATTGTGTAGATTGTATTTTTGGTTTTATAACATCGAGTAAAATGTCAATTTACTCTATGTATATGTAAAATAACTCGTTGCAAATTAATTAAAATCGTTAGTTCGTGATCACAGCTTTAATCTGACTGTCTCTGACCGTTTTCACATGGTGGCAGGTAATCTGGATAATTGAGTTACCTGCCAGTTGGCTAATGGTTGCATTTTGCGCAATTTTCGGTCTAATAATATACATAAAGATATTACTTGACTGTGATTGGTTGATTTCAGTGCAGTTAATCCCAAACAGCAGTGCAATTTTCTGTAATCACAGTGCATTTTTGTGTAATTACAGTGCAATTTTCTGTAATCACAGTGCAAAAATCTGTAACAAACTGATCTGATTGGTGGAAAAACATTGTGGTGATTAAATCAACCAATCAGTTTAAAGCAATTTAGTTTAAAGAATTAACGGTCACAGATTGCTTCAAAACAAAACAAACATGGCGCCGCGCTATACAAAGTAAAACTTGGCTTCGCGTGGAAAATATGCCTTTTATCTTTATTTTTAAATGTAAAAGCATTTACCGTAAACAAGACTAACAAAAATTACATAGTTGAGTGGAATTTTCAAGCTGTTAGCGTTGTATAATGTGATATAACAAAGCCAGGAAAACTTTGCCAGTGGAATGTTCGCTATAAACGCGTAAATTAAAACTACAATTGTCTCGAACATTTTTATGTAAATTATTAATAAGTAATAGCATGGTGTCTCGTGAAATTTGGATAAACATGCACACGTGAGTTTTTCAAATACCTCAAATAGCACTCGTCCTTCGGACTCGTGCTATTTTGAGGTCTTTGAAAAACTCACTCGTGCATGTTATATCCAAATTACACTCGAAACCATGCTATTATTACATATACTAATCATATAGAGGGCGAAATTGCTCAAATATGATTGGCTAATGAGGAGGGCATTTTTTCTTAATTCAGGGCAAAATTACTTGTACCTGATTGGCTGAGACGCAAGCGCGGGAAGTTTCTTGTTTTGAATAGCAATAAAAACAATGGCTTCTCGCTTTGTCGTCGCGGATAATGATTTTATTGAAGAATTAAAAACTTCTAGTGAAAACTTGAACACTAGAAAAAGTACAAATTTATTGGTTGGAGTATTTAAGAAATGGGCAGCATTAATTTGTTAAGGAACATCGGCGAAGATATGAAGACATACGAGGTTCAAGAACTTGACAAGTTCACAATTAACTTACGAATAAATTTTGCCCTCTATGATTAACAAGTAATCGCATAGTTCCTCGTAAAATTAAGATTTAATTTCACTTGTGTTTTCAAAGTGTGAAAGCAATTTGTGAAACTTTGAAAACACGCATGAAATTAAACCTTAATTTTACTCGGCCCCATGCGATTACCTATACTAATTATTATAAAATTATGGTTAATTTAGATATTCTTTATTCAGTCTTTGCTTGCCTTACAGAAAAAACAACTGTTAAGTCTGGATGTACCAGCATTATTTATTCAAGTTGCTTTGGATGAAGGTCCAGGATTATCAATTCGTTATCAGTATCCTGAATTAGGAAAACTTCATGCAGTTGTCTCCTGTCTAATTCGGTCATGTGATGTATCGAGTAGATGGCAGTCATCTGCGGTAAGTATTTTGACTTTAATGCATGAGCTTGTTTCACACGGTAAGATAAGCAAAAGAACTTAATCTTATGGGTCGAGCTGGTAGTTTGTGATGACATAAAACAACAAAGACATGTTGAGACTTGGAGGCAGCAGTATACATGCGTAACACAGGAACTAGTACACAACGTAACCTTGGCTCAACCATCTGAGATTCTGAGTCCTTGTAGCTCAATAGTTGGAGCGTCTGCTCGGTTATCAAGAGGTTATACAGTACGTGGTTTATTCCCGTCACGGCTCAGACGTTTTTCTCAGATGTAAGCTTGATACGCACGCGCAACCAAAATCATATACTTTGCACAACAGATATTAATTTCTCCTTAGAGGCTTGTACTACTGCATGCTATGTCTTTGTTTAGCCTTGTGTCTTTGCTTGTGCTTCTGTTTATCTCACTTCACGCGTGAAGTAATGTGGAAGACCACAATAGTTCATCAACTTGTGCTGTTTTAGTGCTAACCCTCGTTTAACATAAGTATATGCAGTAGAACGCTCGCAACTGCTCTTTTAACAGCACTAGGTAGTACAGGTTCCAATTCTGCTACAACGTTTTGATAGCAAGGCGTATTGCCATGGCAACAATGTAGCAACAGAGCAGCACCAACTATCTGGCACAAACCTTGCTTCAATCTATTTAGCCACATTAAATAAAGTTGTTCATTTATTTAAGCAATATATCGTACACAAGAAGTTTATCGTAGTTGAGATACTGAGAATTGTGTTCAGGCATTAGCCAAATTTTTAACAAAAGTCACTACAATCACTACCATATTAAACAATCTGTCACAGAAGCTCACAAACGAATCAATAAGTTGAGTGAAATTTATTTGAAAACTCCTCAAGGCCACTGATTTTCATTAGAAAAGAGCTATACTGCGCGTGAACTTAAAGAGTAATGATAATTCAGAACCATTACAAGACGATGACAGACAGACGTTTTAAAATCTAACCCAACTTTCATGCGAAGAGCAGCCCACATTGTTCAAGCCCCTTTCGCATTGTGTTCGAAGTCAGATGAGGAGTTGTTTGCATATTTTTATCCAGGAAGGAAGAGAACCCATTAGAGTGAAGGAAATGGAATTAATCATGAAGATCCAAGAAAATGTTGACGATCAAATTTTTGAAAGAGCGAAGTAAGGATATCATGTTCTTTTATCATTACGTATCCATTGCAGTATTTTCGCGTTTATTGCCTCTACTTAATTTGTTCCTGAAAGGTGCAAAGTAAAGTGCTTCAGTCATTAGTTGCTCAGAAACATTGTTTCCTGGCCATGTTTGTTAGAGATTGGGAAAACTAGGAAACATTGTTCCTTCAACAAAAATCACACATGCATGCGAAACAAATATTTCTACTTTCTGGAAAGCAAATTTTGATTCTGTAACATCGGCAACAATATTTCCAAAGATGGGCAAACCTGGGAAAAATTCTTGGAAACATAGTTGCAATCTTTCCGCAGCAATGTCTTACATTTTTCCCAGCGACAAGTGAAAATGCTGCAGTATTTAAATATTTCAAAACTAAATTACCCTATTGTTTTAGTTATGTAAAGAAATTGATTGAAAATCAAACCGAAGCTGAGGAAACAGTACAACTGTTAAAGGTGAGTTAAATATAAGATCCATATTAATTTCCTTCCCCGAAAATATTTGCAATAAAAAAGAAAAATGGTTGATCATATTTTCTGCCACCGAACTAGTACTTTCAGGAAATAATTTTCTCCAGTGCTCCTATTGCATCAGCACCTATTAAAACAGCAGAAACAATAATTCAATTATATCTCCTGGCTTGTGGAAAACACCACGTATATTTTTTGTTGCTTTCCACAAGCCAAGAGATATATAGTTTTAACGCCATGCAAACTTTCAAGGAACATGATAATTCAGTTGATAGGTTCTTGAGCTTGCGGAAAGGTTCCCTGAACTGGGAAGGCAAACTTGGGAGAGGGCATGAGTGGAAAAATAGCGAGCCTTGGGAATTTTTGAGGATGAAAAGGAAAAAAGAAAATATGAAAATGAAAGCAGCCAAATGAACGATGCAGTTGAATAGATAGAAAGTATACCCTCAGTGACTCCATGCACAGTGGACTTGATTAAATATTAACCATAACCATTCCATCATGCATAAACAAAACAGTAACCTCGCAGAAAATGTTCCCATGCTCCCTTGGAGTTCCGAAAATTAAAATATTTATCCACCGTGGGAGAGAGGAGCCCAGCAAGGGAGATTGACCCACGGCCACAGGACGTTATATTTAAAAGAGCCATGTCAATACCGCATTACCTCCTGTCCTTCTTTGAAAGCCCCTGCGTATTCTATATATTTATCTAGAACAAAAAATTTCTCAAACTCTTTCGATTTTTTCAATTAGCATTGTTGCTGGGAAAATCCTCATTTCTCGTGGTTAGTTTTAAAGGAACTTCTATTCCAGGTATGTTTAATTTATTTTTAGAGGATATAATATACTATGACCAGACAGGGTTCGTACAGAACTTGAAAGTCCTTGAATGTCCTTGAATTTGAAAACAAAAATTCAAGGCCTTGAATATCCTTGAATTTGTAAAGAAGTTCTTGAAAGTCCTTAAATTTTTCTTGCTTTTGCTTTTCGATATTGTTCAGAATTGTTTGACATTCAAAACGGACATTTTGTTGGATTCATTTTGCATGTTCATATCTGACAAAGCTGTTTGAAACTCATTAAAGTTGCGTTTTGAACAATTCAACATCAGATTTACTGATTTCTAACCCCTTTCCTTCAGTATTTAGTCCTTGAATTTGCTGATACATGGCCTTGATGTCCTTGAAAAGTCCTTGAATTTGACTCTTTCTCACATGTACGAACCCTGCTAGAGAAATATAGGATAAAAATATGATTTTGTTGCTGTGTTATTATGCAACTTAGTTAATTGATTTCAGTTGTTCATTGTTTTCATGTTTTGTCACATGTTTTGTTATGTAATTTGAGCGCTAAACCTCTTTCTTGCTTATCACAGAAATAGAAAATTATCGTCACGTTTTATGTTCAATAAAGCTTATATATTTGATTTAAAGAGTCGCAAAGATGAGACAGGAGTGACGAATATAAAATGTCATTTTCCTAATATTATTTGCCTCTCCTGTTACCTCCCTGATCACATGACCATATATTGTCACAGTGTCTTCAATAAGCACCATACAAAATATATAAAATGTATTCAGTACCGATGTGACTTTTTCTGTGCAAATTAAAGAAGCCTGATTATCTTCATACCAGCCTCGTACCCAGGCGCTTTGAATTGCTACGCTGTCGCGTGAAGAGCACGCGGGACGACACGCATTCTGGGTACGAGGTTGTCTTTACAAAGTCACTGTAAAAATCAGAATCAGCCGACAATGAAAATATGTTGAAAATACAATGTATATGAATACTTTGAAGTCTGTAATAGAATGAAACATAACTATGGATTGATTGCCAACGGCAAGTTGGCAACGTCCGGTTTCATATATATTTTTATATAACCCATGCCTTACGGCAAGTATTCAATAATCAGTGATGATCGGAAATAAAATTCCGGTTTTACCACTGTTCGCCATTTAACATTGTAACCATATTCAGATCGCTATTTTATCTAACCACAAATTACAACCTGTTATCCATTTTTCAAGATATCGTGTTCTTACACATATGAAATGAGACCGTTTGTTGATCTATTATTGGAAATGACGCTACTTAATGACTCCTGGCAAAAACATCGCGTTGTCAATATTTTAAAAGGTGAGTTTTTAAAATTAAATGACCGTAGCTGGGTCAAGGTATGGGTGTACACCCTAGCACCGGACCGTAGGCGGATCTAAAAGTGTGGTGTATTCCTCAGTAAACAACGTAAAATAAAAGTTTTATATCGCTTTTTCAACCTTCTACAATGTTGTAAAATGCGGAAAATATAGCTTTGCACAACCTCGTACCCAGGGTCTTTCCTCTTGGGGAGCAAAGACCCTGGTAGACGCTGGTCACGTGATCTGCTAAAATCTAGCAGATTTCTAATTAAACTATCTTGGTTTTCTTTACGACAATCATACAAGATGCAAATTATAAATTAAACTATCAAAATAATCCAAATATCAAATGTTTATCGACCTGATGTTGGATTGCTAATTAAAAATCTGCTAGATTTTAGCAGATCACGTGACCAGCGTCTACCAGGGTCTTTGCTCCCCAAGAGGAAAGTCCCTGGGTACGAGGTTGAGCTTTGCAAAGTTCGCAAATGTTGCATACTTTTGTATTGGGTGC